TGAAGAGACCCTGGTTTATTAGGAATGCTCTTCGATATAAACTTGGATATATATATATCTAAATTGTACAGTTTGAAACTTTGATTATATTATATATGAATTCTTTTGGGAATGCTCAATTTATTATTATTACGCTTCTTTTAATGCTTACGTTCAAAGTAACGTGCCCTTTTATCTCATTTCCTAATTATTTATTTGAATAGTTAAAAGCTTTTCGAATTTCTCTCTTTTATATTCCTGGAATCATTTATAAATTTTGATTTATCGGGCTAAAGTTTAGCACTTAAGATCCAAATTTTATTCTTAGATTCTGGCTTCTTTATAAAGTATTTATGGCAAAACTAAGAGTATTTCATTAGATGAATGGCTGAAAGCTGATATGGGCAAGGTAGTTTCTGAGTCACAATTGCAAAATATTGTGGGGTAACTTATTTAATTGTGGGTTATATTGACGGTTACCTTGCTTGATGCGAGCAAATTCCAAAAGTGCTGAAAAAGATTCTATAAATTTATAAGCTATTATTTGAGGAACACCAAACCTTTAGTAGCTGCCAATGGTCCCAGGAACAAATAGATCCTTCTGCGTTGGAGAGCATGACCCTATATGTTGACCCATCCCAGATTACCCAGTATCGGCTGCATGTGTAGTTGAAGTAGTTAGCTTTAAGGGTGATATTAGCATTGAGCTTTCTGACTTAGAAAAGCCATCTTGAGATTGATTGATATGAAACGTGCCGTTAACGCATGAGGTAAGACTTTCTGGCATTACAATATCATTCATCTCCTGCTCTCCTTTACCACTGTTTCTTTTATCAGAACAAAGTAATTTGGTCAATGGACTGGACTCGGCCTCGACAAAATCAAGGATATGGCATATGCCCTCTCTTCCTTCCTCTGAGGATAAATTAAAGCCAGAAGAAAGGCAGAAAAGAGTGGTAGAGCCTGTGGACAAGTTGACATTAGGCGGACTCAGACCATTACACTGGAAAGGAGCAGCCAAGCGCCCAGGATTATGATGTCGACTGGAGCCCAGTAGAAGATGCTGGGGGCTTGTATAGGTATCCTCGTTATCAGATTGACAAATATGGCCCACCTAAATGTTATTCAGATAGAAGTGTGCGCCGATATGTAGGAAATATAATTAAAAAGTAAACTATAATATTCGCATTGTAGAATAATCTGATACATTGCATAAGGTGCCAAATTTAATAAACATTTCCCTTTAAGTGAATATTCAATATACATAATTTCCAAAAGGCTTAAATTCTCTGAAAAAAGTCGGA